GAGAGAAAGGGCACAGAGAGAGAGAGAAAGGCAGCAGAGAGAGAGAGAAAGGCACAGAGAGAGAGAGAAAGGCACAGAGAGAGAGAGAAGAGGCACAGAGAGAGAGAGAAAGGCACAGAGAGAGAGAGAAGCAACAGAGAAGAGAGGAGAAAAGGCACAGAGAGAGAGAGAAAGGCACAGGAGAGAGAGAGAAAGGCAGAGAGAGAGAGACAGAGAGAGAGAGAGAGAGAGAGGCACAGAGAGATCGAGAAAGGCACAGAGAGAAGAGAAAGGCACAGAGAGAGAGAAAGGCACAGAGAGAGAGAGAAAGGCACGAGAGAGAGAGAGGAGAGAGAAAGGCAGCAGAGAGAGAGAGGAAAGGCACAGAGAAGAGAGAAAGGCAGACAGAGAGAGAGAGAAGGGACAGAGAGAGAGAGAAAGGCAACAGAGAGAGAGAGAAGGCACAAGAGAGAGAGAGAGAAGGGCACAGAGAGAGAGAGAAAGGCACAGAGAAGAGGAGAAAGGCACAGAGAGAGAGAGAGAGAGGCACCAAGAGAGAGACGAGAAGAGCAACAGAGAGAGGAAGGCACATAGAGAACCACAGAGAGAGATGAGAAAGGCAGAGAGAGAGAGTAAACACAGAGAGAGAGAGAAAAGGCACAGAAAAGGCACAGAGAGGAGAGAGAAAGGGGCACAGAGAGAGAGAGAAAGGCACAGAGAGAGAGAGAAAGGCACAGAGAGAGAGAGAAAAGGCAAGAGAGAGAGAGAAAGGGCAGAGAGAAGAGAGAAAGGCACAGAGAGAGAGAGAAATAGGCACAGAAGAGAAGAGAGAGAGAGAAGAAAGGCACAGAGAGAGAGAGAAAGGCACAGAGAGAGAGAGAAAGGCACGAGAGAGAGCAGTAAAACAGAGGAGAAGAGAAGGCACAGAGAGAGAGAGAGAAAGGCACAGAGAGAGAGAGAAAGGCACAAGAAAGAGAGAGAAAGGCACAGAAGAGAGAGAGAAAGGCACAGAGAGAGAGAGAGAGAAGGCACAGAGAGAGATGAGAAAGGCACAGAGAGAGAGAGAAAGGCACAGAGAGGAAGAGAGAGGAGAGAGAGAGAAAGGCACGAGAGAGAGAGAAAGGCAACAGAGAGAGAGAGAAAGGCACAGAGAGGAGAGAGAGAAAGGAACAGAGAGAGAGAGAGAAAGGCACGAGAGAGAGAAGAGAGAAAGGCACAGAGAGAGAGAGAGAAAGGCACAGAGAGAGAGAGAGAAAGGCACAGAGAGAGAGAGAGAAGGCACAGAGAGAGAGAGAAAGGCACAGAGAGAGAGAGACCACAGAGAGAGAGAGAAGGCACAGAGAAGAGAGAAAGGCACAGAGAGAGAGAGAAAGGCACAGAGAGAGAGAGAAAGGCAAGAGAGAGAGAGAAAGGCACAGAGAGAGAGAGAAAGAGAGAGAGAGAGAAAGGCACAGAGAGAGAGAGAAAGGCACAGAGAGAGAGAGAAGGCACAGAGAGAGAAGAGAAAGGCACAGAGAGAGAAGAAAAGCAGAGAGAGAGAGAACAGAGAGAGAGAAAGAGAGAGAAAGGCAGAGAGAGAGAGAAAGGCAGAGTGAGAGAGAAAGGCAGAGTGAGAGAGAAAAGACAGAGTGAGAGAGAAAGACAGAAGAGAGAAAGACAAGAGAGAAAGAAGAGGAGAGAGAGAGAAGAGAGAGAGAGAGAGAGAGAGGAGAGAGAGAGAGAGAGAGAGAGAGAGAGAGAGAGAGAATATGACGGACCACATCCTGCGTAAGAAAAATGATCAAGGTCCTAAAGAGGATAATATGAGTAAGGTTAAGCTGATAAAAGAGAAAAGGAGAGGGAACGGGGGGGGGGGGTAAGGGGGATCAGGAATTACATATCATCTGAACCCTCTTGACCTGATCTGGCCTGGGAGGGTAGGAGATGGGGGGAATAGGGAGGGGGGATAAGGAGATAGGAGGGGTAAGTAAGATATAGAGGAGGACGCACGAGAGGGAGAGAGGAGGAGATAGGGAGGGGAATAAGAGGAGAGAGAGAGAGAAAGAAAGAGGATGAGGGGAAGGGAGGAGGAATAAGAGGAGAGAGGAGGAGATAGGGAAAGGGGATACAGGAAGAGAGGAGGAGGAAAAGACGAGGCAGGGGATGAAATAGAGAAGGGAGAAGAAGAGATAGGGGAGATAGGGAGGGGGGATATGGGAAGAGAGATAGAAGAGGGAGAGGATAGAGGCAGGATAAGAGGGAGGGGGATAGGGAGAAAGAGGAAAGTGAAGACGGTGAGGAGAAATAGAGAAGGGAGGAGGAAGAGGAGATAGAGGAGGGAGGGAGAGTGGATTGCTCGGGAGAGGGGAGATTCGGAGGAGATGGACAAAGAAGAGGAAGAGGAAGACACAAAGAAGGGAGGAGGAGAGAAAGGGGAGAGAAATCGGAGCGTAGAAAGAAGACGAGACGGAAAGGGAGGTAGAAAGGAGAGGAAGACACAGAGGAGGGGAAGTAAGGAGGAAGGAAGAGGAAGTAAGATGGGAGAGAGGAGGAGAAGGAAGAAGAAGTAAGATGGGAGAGAGGAGGAGAAGGAAGAAGAAGAGGAAGAGGAAGAGGAAGAGGAGGAGGAAGAGGCACGAGATGGAGACGGAGATACCTGTGAGTGAACGGTCGTCTCCGCGGCATTACGAAGAGCCTCATGATAAGGCGGGTGAGGGAAGCGGGGAAGCGGGAAGAGAGACGGCGCGTGAGAATAGATCGCGGCGCGGAGAAGAATAATGCGGGAAAGGAGGAGGAGGAAGAAGGAGATTAAAAGGACGGGATGATAGGGGGGGGGGTTAAAGGGATGGAGGAGAGTTGGTGTGCGGAATGAAGGAGGAGAGATGGATAAGACGAGAAGCGGCAGTCTGAGGGAGGATTGAGCGAGATAAGGCATCAAGGATGGGAGGGAGGCAGGTGGCTTATGCTTTTAGGGATGGGGGGGAGAGGTGGGTAGGGGAGATGGGGAGGGAGGAGAGAGGAAGGGGTAGGGGTAGGGGTGGGAAGGGAGGCGGAGGGGAGAAGTGGGTGGGAAAAGGAGGGTGGGAGGAGAGGTAGAAGGGAGAAGGGGGGGAAGAGGTAAGGGGTGGTAAGGTATGAAAGGAGAGTGGAGAGGAAATGGATAAGGATGAGGAAAGACTGATGGATACAGGATAGGAGAGAGGGGAGAGGGGAAATGAATAGGGATATGGAGAGGAAAAGGTTGGAGGGGGTAGGAGAGGGGAAAGGGGAAAGGGATAGGGAATACGGAGAGGGAGGAGGGGGAAGGGAAAAGTGATATGGAGAGGGGAAGAGGGGAAGAGGGTAGAGAAGAGGGACAAGAAGAAAAGGATAGGGATATGGAGAGGGGAAAGGGTGGAGGGGGTAGGGACAGGAGCAAGGGGAAAGGGATAGGGATATGGCGAGGGCAGATGGGCGAGGGGAAAGAGGGGACGGCGGGAGAGACATTAGCAGAGAGCACCTGCTTTTAGGCGCTCCTCCTCCTGCCATTTTTCTCCAACAGAGGATATCTTTTGTGCAGTCACCATTCTCTTCCTTACGTGCAGTCGAGATTCTTTTTTATCTTTTTTTTAGTTCTTATTGTGTCGTGCGCTTTCAACTCTGATTATGTTTTTTTTTATATATTTACTTTTTTTTGTTTTTTTTTTATATTTTACTTTTTTGATCATGTTTTTATCATATTTTACTTTTTTTCATATTTTACTTTTTTATTATGTTTTTTTCACATTTTACTTTTTTTTATTTATTTTTTTTTAATATCACTCTTCTCATGTTGGGTGTGATTATTTTTTTTCGCTGACTCCCATGGCGGATTTTTTTTTTCGATTTTAGAGGAAGGTGATTTGGTGTAGGGTCGGAAGGGGAGGTCGAGGTGTAATGAATGGGTGGATGTGCGAGTGGATCGGTTGATACATAGATACATAAATAGATTGAAACATGGATAAATGGATGGATGGATGGATGGATGGATTGATGGATGAGTGGATTGATGGATTGTTGGGTGAATGGTTAGATAAATAGATAAGTGGATAGATAGATAGCTGTGGAAGGAGATAAATTGATGGTTGGGTGGATAAGTGACTGAATGAATAGGTGGATGGATTGATGGGTTTGCAATATGAATACATAGAGGGAACGGGGAAAGGAGAAAAATGGACAAAAGATATGAAATTATAGCCAAGAAACGCACGAGAGACAAAGAAAGAGAATAAAAGGGGGAAAATGCAAATAGTCGCCAGAGCGAGGGGGACCAACTCGACTAAATGTGCTTTTGCAAAGAGAAAAATAATGAGTGTGTTTAATGGGAAAGTACGAGGGAAGTAGAAAGGGCTGAGAGGAGGGACGAACGGAGTCAGAGAGAGGGAGAGAGGGGAGGGGGATAGAGAGAGAGGGGAAGGAGAGAGAGGGGGGGAGAGAGAGGGAAAGGGAGAGGGAGAGGGACAGGGAGAGAGAAAGAGAATAAATGTGCACTCCCACAGACAGACAGACAGACAGACAGACAGACAGACAGACAGACAGACAGCAGGACAGACAGACAGACAGACAGAGGGCGAGGGATGGGGCAGCAGGCGTAAAGGCGGAGAAGGAGAGGGGAAAGATTGTAAGGGAGAGTTCATAACACTGGGAGAAGAAGAGCTGGAAAGAAAGGCAAGGGAGAAAAAAAAGGTAGGAAAGGAAGGAGATGCCTCTGCATTGCGGCGCGCACACCAGTTGGTCGCGACTCAGGTGTCCCATAAGTACAATACCGCGCATAGTGGCGGCCCCGAGATTACCTCCCGTGGGAGGTACATCTTTTTTAACGAGGATCGCTGTCTGCCCAACACTGATCTGCCCCTTTTCCAGCCACGATAATAATTTGAAAAAACATCACTACACCTCATGTACTCTTAATCTTTACTTCAGATGGCGCCTACTTCACCTCTCTCCGCCCCGCACCCGGGGAACCAGGGCTCAGGCCCGCCAGACAACCTCAACAACGCGACCACTTTCCACGACTCGACTCGATGACGGCCCGGCCCTGGTGCTATGGAGCTTTTCCTCCGATGTCCATGGACCGGGTGATGTTTCTCGCTTATTGGCCAGGAGCGTGGGGAGGGGGATGGGGGAGGAGTAGGGCAGAAGGGGAGAGGGTAAGAGGGANATAGATATGGAAAAATGTATGACAGATTCGGTAAATATAGAAATTAGAAAATGAATAAATATGTGGATAAACTGAAAGAAGGAAAACTAATTAAAAAAAAACAAAAATAACATCCATATATGTCAAAAATAGATGATAGATCGATAAATATAGAAACAGATAAGTGGATAAACTAAAAGAGAAAAGAAATAATTAGAAAACCAAAAATAACATCCATGATTAAAATAAATGATAAAAGATTTTTTTGGGGGCATTTATAGTTCACTCTCTCGTATTCGTGAAGCTAAATAATGCAGGTAACCCTCTCTTTACACGAACCATTCCCTCCCATTGAATAAGTGTGCAATTAAATAAAAATCATCAAATTTGTAATTGCTGTTGGGTTTGCCTCGATACCCCCTCCCCCCTCTCACCCCCACCTACCCTCTGTCACAGACCCGCTCCCCCCCTCCATCCTTAACATCAAAGTGTTTGTACTCTCCTTTTAACTATCTGTCTCTATCCCTACCCTCCTCCTCACTCCATCATTCCCCTACCACCCTCCCCTCTCCCTCACTCCTCACCCCCACCGCCCTACACCCTCCTCCTCTCCGTCACTCCCTTTCCTCTCCCTCCTACACCCCCTCCTAATCCTCACTCCCTCACCCCCTTACCACCCCCTCTTCCTCACTCCCTTCCCTCTCACCCCTACAACCCCCCCCCCCAACCACCACCACCCCCACCCCCTTACCTCACAAAGCACCTATCCCCCCATTCTTCTCCCCAACAATGACCCCGTCTCCCCCACGCCCACCCCTCCCTTCATCCCCCCGCCCCCACCCTCCTCTTCACCCTCCCCCGCCCCACCCTCCTCTTCACTTTCACCCTCCCCCGCCCCCCACCCTCCTCTTACCCCTCCCCCCGCCCCCACCCCTCCTCTTCACCCCCTCCCCCCGCCCCCACCCGTCCTTTCAGCTCCCTCCCCGCTTCCCACCCCTCCTCTTCAACCCCTCCCCCCCGCCCCCACCCTCCTCTTCACTCCTCCCCCGCCCCCCACCCCTCCTCTTCACCCCCTCCCCCGCCCCCACCCTCTCTTCACCCCTCCCCCCGCCCCCCACCCCTCCTCTTCACCCTCCCCCCGCCCCCCACCCTCTTTTCACCCCCTCTCCCTGCCCCCACCCCTCCTCTTCACCCCTCCCCCCCCCCACCCCCTCTTTCACTCCCACGCCCCACCCTCCTCTTCACCCTCCCCCCGCCCCCACCCTCCTCTTCACCCCTCTCCACGCCCCCACTCTCCTTCCCCTCCTTCCCCCCCCCCACCCCTCTTCTTCACCCCTCCCCCCCGCCCCCCACCCTCCTCTTCACCCCCCTTCCCCCCCCCCCTCCACTTCCTCTTCACCGCCCTCCCCCCGCCGCCCCACACCCCTCCTCTTTCCACCCTCCCCCGCCCCCCCCCCTCTTCACCCCTCCCCCGCGCCCCCACCCTCCTCTCCGCCCCCCACCCCTCCTCTTCACCCCTCCCCTCGCCCCCCACCCCTCCTCTTCACCCCCTCCCCCGCCCCCACCCCTCCTTTCACCCCCTCCCCCGCCCCCCACCCTCCTCTTCACTCCCTCCCCCCGCCCCCCACCCTCCTCTTCACCCCCTCCCCCGCCCCAACCCGTCCTCTTCAGCTCCCTCCCCCCGCCCCCCACCCCTCCTCTTTCACACCCTCCCCCGCTCCCCCCTCCTCTTCACGCCCCTCCACCCCGCCCCCCACCCCTCCTCCCACCCTCTCCCTCCCGCCCCCCCCCCACCCCCTCTCTTCACCCCTTCCCCCTCCCCACCCCTCCTATTCACCCCCTCCCCGCACCCCTCTTCTTTCACCCCTCCCCGCCTCCTCTTCACCCCCTCCCCCCCCCCACCCCTCCTCTTTCCCTCCCCCGCCCCCACCTCTCCTCTTCACCCCCTCCCCCCGCCCCCCACTCCTCCTCTTCACCCCCCTCCCCCCGCTCCCCTCCCCCTCCTTTCACCCCCTCCCCCCCCCCACCCTCCTCTTCACCCCCCCCCCGCCCCACCCTCCCTTCACCCCTCTCCCCCCCCTTCCCATGCTTGAATCCAGCACCGCATGCATATTTTAACTTTTCTGAAATCATTATACAGATAACGCAGCATCCGTATGGGTTTTGAATTAAGGATGAGCTGGGTTTTCGGTTGTAAAGGGGGGGTGGGGGGGTGGGGAGGGGATGGGGGTGGGGATGGGGAGGTTGGTGGGAGGGAGGTGGAGGGGGTGGGAGGGGAGGGGGGGAGGGAGAGGGAGGGGAGGGGGAGGTTGGTGGGAGGGTCCTAAAAGGGGGATTACAGAGGGAGGATGGGGGGGGGGAGGGGTGAGGATGGAACGAGTGTACCGAAATAGGAAGTACTGAAAGGGGGAGAGAGGGAGAAAAAGGAGAAGAGAGGGAGATACTACGGGAGGGGAGGGAAGAAAGAAAAGAATGGAGGATAGGGAAAGGAGAGGAAGGGAGAGGAAGGAGAGAATGAAAGGGGAAAGAGAAAGAGAGAGGGAGGACAGAGATAAGGAAGAGGGAAGTAGGGGGTGAGTAACTAGACAGAATAGGGGAATAGGGAAACAGAGAGGAAAGAAAAGGGAAGAAACGGTGCATGGGAAAAGAGATAAGAAAACGAAAGAAGAAACTTGATAAGGGAATTGAAAAGAAGAGAAAGAAAGTGAGAGGAAAGGGGAAAAGGAGGGAGAGAGAGAAAGAAGAAGAGAAAGAAAGTGAGAAGATGAGAGGAAAAGGGGAAAGGAAGGATAGAGAGAAAGACGCAAATAGAAAGAAAGAATAAAGTCAGAGATAATATGAACACATAAAACGCATTACACACTTCTTTCACGAAGAAAGAATCAGATAAAAAATACGTGATAATGATAATAACAACGATAATAATGATAATGATAATAATAATGATAATGATAATCTGAATAATAGAAAATATAAAAAAACGAAGGCAGAGAAAACAGAGGAGAGGAAAAAAAATAACGATAAATAACAAAAAAAAAAAACAAAAAAAAACAACAACAACAACAAAACAGTAACACCAAACAGTTCCTGGAAAGAGTTAGGAGACGGTAAAGGTACCCAACAGGACCCCCCTCCCCCCCCCCCCGCCCCTGCCCCCCCCTCTCTGTACTACATATCATTTCCGTGTCTTGTCTCCACAGATACTCTCGAATATATGTACACCCTTAAAGAACGCATTTTGACGATTTAGTGAGTTACTTTTGGCTTTTTTTCCCCTTTTTTTTGGGGGGGGGGAGGGGGCAATTATCGTAAGCAATTCGTATAGAATTTGCAAGAATATAGAGGTGTGTGGGTGGCATGGAAAGATTTTTTTTTTTTTTTTTTTTTTTTTTGTCCAAGGATGAATAAGATTTTTTGTATACAGGCTTTCATATGTATGCAGATATACAAACGCAAATCACACAACTACATAAACATACATATACCTATGTATACATTTTTACACTCATACACACACATACATAAACACACAACACACAACACAACACACACACACAAACAACACATCAAGCAAACACACACAACACACACACAAACACACACATACACACACATTCACAATAAAAACACACACACACACAAACACACACAAGCACACACACACACAAAAACAATCACACACAAACAAACCCACACACACACACACACACAAACACACACACACGCCCACGAACTTATGCATACCTGCCTCACCCATGCTTAAATTTAATTAAAATTCTATCCCGAGACAATTGAAAACGCAATTTTCCACCGACATTTTATCTCCTCTCTGGGCGACAGAATTTAATGTCACGTGACCTAGACAGGGCATTGATATGATTAGAGAGCCAGAGAGAGAACCGATTAATCGCAGCTAGATCGGAAGCCTTTTATTTATTTGCAACATGAACGCATGGGTGAGTCTCAACATGGATGCAGGGATAGGAATCCAATTAACGTGTGTATATACGATGCATGTACACACGTGGGCACAGATATTTCCAAACAAACAAGCAAATACATATGCACATGAATATGCCTATCTATCTATCTATATCTATCTATGTATCTATATCTATCTATCTATACAAATATATATACGTATATATATAGTATATATATATATATATATATATATATATATATATATATATATATATATATATATATATATGTATGTGTGTGTGTGTGTGTGTGTATGTGTGTGTGGTGTGTGTGTGTGTGTGTGTGTTGTGTGTGTGTGAATATGTGTGTGTGTGTGTGTGTGTGTGTGTGTGTGTGTGTGTGTGTGTGTGTGTGTGTGTGTGGTCGTGCGTGCGTGCATGCGTGTATGTGTCTGTGTTTGTGTGTGTATGTGTCTGTCTCACATCGTACAATAAAAACTACACCACAAAGAAATAGACAGAGAACTAGAAAAAAAAAATAAAAAAATAAAATAAAAAACAAGAAAAAGAAAAAAAGAAAAAAAAAACACGAAAGAGAAACAGAAAATGTTCCACGGAGTCCAAGCCGATGTACACAAGAGAATTAGAGAGGTAGAGAGGGTTCGAAGCTGCATTGGCTACTGCACCATATGTCTACATTTTCCTTTCACAAATGAAGACTAATGCTGGTTACCGAAGGCGGAGAGGAGGCGTGCTTCTCTTGTTAAAACGCAGCAGCACTTTTTTTTATGGGCTCCTTTTTCTTCCTGTCTCTCTGTCTCTGTTTCTGGTTTTATCTTTGTCTGTCTCTGTTTTGTTTGTTTCTTTCTTTCTTTCTTCTCTTCTCTCTCTCTCTCTCTCTCTCTATCTATCTATCTCTCTATCTATCTATCTATCTATCTATCTATCTATTTATCTATTTATCTCTATCTATCTATCTATCTATCGCTCGAAGTTGATATGTTATTCATTAAAC